AAGCATGTCGAGCACATGAGAAGTACCGAAACTGGAGGGTGTTCACGCGTGGGGCCCTGGGAGGCGAAACTCGCTCGACGCTGTTTCGATACTTGTTTGGGGTGCTTGAGATTATTTCTGGGATGTGGCCCTTAAGTACGACGGGAGCATCATAAGTCCAGTCCCAGGAATGGTTGGTTGTCTGGCACGATTCAGGACTGTCAGGGCACAGCAGTAAAGACGATCCGCGGCCTTAAAGTCCAAGGAGTGGTTTGCTGGCGCGATGAAGGATTCTCAGACGTTTGCGTTCCAACGGAGCAGTTCTCGAAGCGAAAATCAATGTGTCAAGGGACCGATGCAGAGGGAACGCGGAGGGAGGATGTATTGCAACATCGTTTTTGTGTCTTGGGTTTTGCACTGGTCCTTCACCTCCCCCTCCTCCTCCTTCCCCTCCAGCTCCCCTCCCTCCTCCTCCTCCCTCCCCTCCTCCTCCTCCTCCTCCCCTTCTCCTCCTCCCCCTCCTCCTCCTCCTCTCCTTCTCCTCCTCCTCCTCCTCCTTCTCGCTCCTCCTCCTCCTCCTCCTCCTCCTCCTCCTCTTCCTCCTCCTCCTCCTCCTCCTCATCCTCATTCTCGCTCCTCCTCCTCCTCCTCCTCCTCCTCCTTCCCTCATCCTCGCTCCTCGCTCTTCGTCGTTCTCCTCCTCCTCGTTGTCCTCCTCCTCCTCCTCCTCCTCCTTCTCCTCCTCCTCCTCCTCCCCCTCCTCCTCCCCCTCCTCCTCCGAGCGAGAGAGAGAGAGAGAGAGAGAGAGAGACAGAGAGACAGAGAGAAAGAGCCGCGCGGGACGCCCTTTGGCTCGGAGGAGCCCGCGTGGGGAGCCGCCTCCCTGGTGCCTCACGCCCTGGCGGCCTTCGCGGCGGGGCTGCTGCTGGGAGGAGTCCCCGTGCGCCTATTCAGGGGGAGCGAGGGGCTTTGGTTCGGCGGCGACCGAGGGGAGGAGGAAGAAGTGATAGGGGAACGAATACTGACATAAACATAAAAACTCGGAGCTCCGCGCGGATTTCTCGGATCCAGGCCCCCCTGGTGGCGCCTCCAGCGCCTTCCCTGGCGCGGATCCAGGAAATCCTCGCGGACCTCTGAGTTTCTATGTTGATGTCATTTTTCGTTCCCCAAAGTGAGAAGGTTCTCGGACGTTTTCGTCGGCTCTCGGCGGTTTTCTTGTGTTGGACATTCGTTCCAGCGGGTGCGCCTCGCCGAGAGCGTTCCGGGGGGGGCCGGGATCGTCGTCCCGAGCGGCGGCCGGCGACCCGAGTTATGGCTCAAGAGCCAAATTCGGCAGCGAGTGTGGAGGGGGGAGGAAATGAGAAGGAGAAAGCTTTCTCATCGGAGGGCACCAACTATGCACCTACACCGATCCTGGCCAGGCCGATCCTAGGCCCAGGATCGGTGTATGTGCGTTCTGCCCATGGCAGGAGGGCGTAGACACCGATCCTGGACCCAGGGCGATCCTGGTCAGGATCGGTGTTTGTGTATAGTTGAGGCCTTCCCTTCCTATCTCAGAAGGCGGGACTTCTCAGAAGCCCTCGCGCCCTCTGAGATGTCGCTGGTGTCTTTGGGGAAGGCTCGGGAGACCTCTCAGAAGGCCCGGAGGACTTCCAGGCCTCCTGAGAAGGCCCGCCCCTTCTCGACGCCCCCCTGGCTCGCCGCCGAGTAGACCCAGACGAGGAGGAGGATAGTGAGGAGGAATACGAGGAGGAGGAGGTGGTGAAGGAGGAGGAGGAGGAGGAGGAGGAGGAGGAGGAGGAGGAGGAGGATAGGAGAATAAGGAGAGGGAGGAGGAGGAGGAGGAGGAGGAGAAAAAGGGGGAGGAGGGGGTGGAGGAGGAGGAGGATAGTGAGTGATGTGCGTTCACGGCTCGTAGGAGGAAAGCGTAGCGATGCCGCCGCTCGTCCTCCTTGGGCTCTTGTCGCCAGGGCTGGATATGCCACCAAGGATTTTCTTGGTCAAGACGCACCCCCTGGAGAGGCCTTGGGAGTTCAGTCGGACCGAGGAAGAAGTTGGCGAGGACCATCAAGGAGCATCATTGATCGCGAAGGAGCAAAAACGGCATAAACATAAACTTTAAGCGCTCCGCACGGATCTCTTGGATCCGCGTTGGGCCCTCCCTGTCTGCGCCTCCGGCACCGCCCCTGGCGCGCTCCGCGCGCCAGGGAGGGGGTCCAGCGCAGACCAAAGAAATCCACGCGGAGCGCCAAAAGTTTATGTTTATAGAACTTGCTTGCGACCCACCACGGCCACGAGGACCGGGTCCCCAACGTTGATGACAAAATGTGCTATAAGAAAAAAGAAGCAAGACGCTGTACAAGGTGAGGTCGAAACACAACACGGCGGCCGCAAGGTTGCGATAGCGGGGCGTAGGCGCGGAGGCACCAACGCCCCGCGCCCGCCCCCGCAGGGGCCGTGCTGGCGGTAGGAAAGGACGCCGTGAGGTCCGGCCTGCCGGCCGCAATATCACTCGAGCGTGTCCAACTTGACTGGAGGCGCCGATCCAGAGAAGCCCCGCCACACGGCCGCTAGGGCCACGAGGAATCACGATAAGGACCACCGGTTTAACCCTCCCCTCCCATGGTTGTACAAATTTGACCGGCCAAAGCCCATGGGCAAGTGCACAAGGCCTGCATGATGAACACGAAGAAATGCCACTGCCGGCAGAGTCTCCCACCACTGGGATAGGTCGAATTCAAGGGTCGTCTCGTCTCCCCACAGCCGCTGTAAGTGACGTGAGGCGAGGAGTTTCGAATACGAGGAGGAGCCCACTCCTCGGCGGCCACCAGCACTGCCTCAGGCAAGAAGAACCACGTGGCCAGGCTCCCACCTCGGTGAGACACTTCAATGGAACTCGAAGTTCTGGGGAGTTAGTCGAAGCGAGGGTGAGCACACCATAAGCCTCCTGTACAACTTGCTTCGCTTCTCTTGTCTCCAGAAGAGGCTCCCCACTGACAAGTGTTTGTAGACATTGTTCGTGTTCTGATTGTGGAGCGTCAGTTGACCATCTGGCAACAAACAGCACGCACGGAAGCAAACAACTGCATGGGAAGGGACGTCCGAGCGATGACAAGCCTCGAGAGCTCTGGAGCGCACCCTGCGCCAAGCCCGTCGTGACGTCAGTCTCCCAGCTCTGGGCTGCCCGCGTGCTCGATTAGGGGGCCACATACGAACCCTACCCCTACCCCCCACGATTTCTGAGGGGAGGGTGGGGTTCACTTCGCTCGGGAGCTCCCGAACGAAGTGAACCGTAGGGTTCGTATGTGCCCCCCTATCGATGCTCCGCCGTCCTCGGAGTCGGGCGGAAGGGGGCTCGGGGGCAGGGAAAGCTGCCGCGTGGAGCTGCTTTCGGCCCCGCCGCCTGGCGCTTCCATCGGTACGTTTGCGCAGCTGTCGCCGGGAGGAGCCGGGGAGATTGGGCGTCGCGTAAGGGGGTTGCGATAGGATTGGGGGGTAGCGAGAGCTTCAGAAAAGGTACTTTTTAGGGAGCCTGTTGGGCCCGACAAGTGTACCTTTCTCCCCCCATTGATCGCTCCCCCAGTACGCGACGCCCACGGAAAGCTATGATCATGGTCATATTCTTGGCGTGTATGTGGTTTCGGGCCCTGCGAAACCGAAGCCGTTGACACGCTGAGCAGCGCATGGGCGCAACCGCTAAGTAGGGTCGGGTGGGACAGCCCTCCTATAGATTCACGCAGGAGACGCGCAAAGTGCGGAGCACACAGCGCGTATAGGCATATTCACAATTTCTTTCGTGGGCGGCGAGGCAGAGGCAGTCCGCACCAGCGCGGGGCAGCCGATCGGCGAATTGTCCGGAGTGCAAGAGGAAGGAACGACGACGAGGGCGGCCGCGCGGAGCATTCCCAACTGCACGCTGAGAAGAGGACCAGGACCGTACGTGAGCCGATTCGACCACCTTGTGCTACCCGCCCCTCCCGTCCGACCTGGCCTCTCCTGGGGGAGGAGCGCTGCCGGGGCCGCGGCGGCCCCCGCTTCCCAGCGTTTTTTTGTCCCGTACTCTTGGGTAGGAGGAGGAGGAGGAGGAGGAGGAGGAGGAGGAGGAGGAGGAGGAGGAGGAGGAGGAGAAGGGGTCCGCCTCGAAGCACCCCCGACCTCCTCGCGCTGTGAAACCAATGCGACGAAACTCGGCCGCCGCGGGGCGCTGGTCCTGGAAGCCGCGCAGTGGGGAGGCGATAAATTTGGGAACCCCCAAACCGGGTGGTGAGATACCAGGTGGCGACCTGGAATCCCCCAAAAGGTCACCGCTGGGTTTGGGGACGCGGGGTCACCGCCGGGTTTTGTGACTCCTGGACCCACCAACGTTCGGGACATCCTCGGAAAACCGCACGAGTCCCCAAACTGGGTGGTGACACCAAATCGCCCGAGACTCACCGCCAGGTGTTGTCACCACCACGTTTGGGGACTACCAATAAATGTGGGGGGCAGCAATAGCTGCCCGAACGGGGCCCTGCGGCCTTGAGTGCCCGAACAGGGCACGTGTCTTTTTTGTTTTTCGGCCTCAGGGGGGCTCACTGGGCCCCAGGACCGCCAGAGAACGGCTCGGAATGAAAACCCGGTCCTGGGGAAGGGGTCCAGACTTGGGGGGGTCGACGTTGTAAAACATCACGACGTTGAGGGTCCAGGACAAGATGGTTGCACGCGACTCTTTGCCCCCAAATCCCGACGTTCTACGAAAAATCAGGCCGATTAAAGAGGGAAGGAAGCCATGGGACTCACCCCGGGGGGACTAATCGGACGCACACTTATCGAGGATGGACGTCACCCTTTCCTACACCCCCAGGTTGGGCAGTGGTGCGTACCAAGCGTTACGCGTGTCTTGGGCCCATTTCTGATTCTCCTGTGGCCGAATCGAGTGTGATGTGAGTATCATATGTGTGCCTCATGTGCCCCGCGTAAGTATTGTTTCTCGTTCACATGGCTGGTTTTAATTTCTCTTGGTAATACTTGTATGAGCCAGTGGGGCCCTCGCTCGTCGCCACTGCTGTAGTTGTCCCTTCATGCATCACGAGATTCGCACATGATGGTCTGTCGTTGGAGGGAGTTGTTGTTGGGGGGTGTGGGGGGTCCGGACAGGACGCTTCACGTTCGGCTGAGCTTTTTGTTCACAAACTTGTTGCAGGGTGTATGCTTGCTTGCTTGCTGAATTCATTTGGGACACAGGCGCACACACACACAAACACACGCGTTGAACCAATGCCGGGACCAAGCCCTTCGACATTTGCAACCCCGAGCCATCGTCATGACGTCGAATCCTGTTCTATTTTTTGTAGGTGGGGGGGAGGGGGGACACCCTCTCGCATGTGTGCGCTGTACGCTGGGCTCTACGGTCAGGAACCTCGGCTCAGCGTGTCGCTCCGCCCGCTCTGGCACGCCTCGATGGACACGCTATCCACTTCACGGCCCCCCAGCGTCCACGTGCCGAGTTTTTCCGATCCTCCGCCCAGGGCGACGCGCGCCGAGAAGTCTCATAGTATAAGCTCCGTGCCTGGCGCTTCCTGGCAATACCGCTCGGAAAGCGATCTACTACAAGATGACTGTACTGTGTGTTCGGGTCGGACGCGCGCCTCTAGGGAGGACATGTAGTACTCGTGTGTCCTCGTGCGTCCCATGCTCGGCAACAGTTCCTGACCGTAGACGCTCAGCTTGCCCCGATGGCCTCTCCAGCAAGGGGTGGGCCCAGATCCTGCGCGCGCACGGCTGGAGCCTTTCCCAGCAGGGCCCTCTGTGCTGCGCCAGCCTGCTGTCGGCGCTCGAGTGCCCCTCGAGGAACCCAGAGACGGCCGCCCCGATGATCGCCAGCGGCTGCCAGAGAGAGCCGACTTGTGACCCGAAAGGTCGGGGCAACGACAGGGGCGGATGGGCTCTGGGGGG